GGGGGGTGAACCAGCAGATAGAGGGTATCTTTCTCTGTGTCTCTCCTTCTCTCTCTGTAATTTTACCTTTCAAACAAATAAGAGTAATTTTCTTAAAAAAGAAATCCAAGTCCTGTATCCTAATGGGATGTGCTAAACCACCAGTAGCTCAAATTTGGGGGTGTTGGGGAAGCACTCACGTTTACTCCAAACACTGGGAAAACACAAATGATCATCACGCCCATTTTAATGATGCAGAAACTGAGGCTTAGAGATTCTCATCTGGGAAGTGGCAGGGCCTGAGACCTCCCCTGGCTCCCAAGAGCCACCTGCCCTTCAGGGTGGCCCTGCACAAGGCTGGTTTCTCAGCAGGGCCACCCTGGCACTGTCCCCTCCGCAAAGGCTTGTTGTGGCCTCTGGATCTCCTGGAGCATAAACCGTGCCTTCACAGCTGCCCATGACCCACACTGGACCCTCACCGTACAGCCCAAAGCACGCATGCGCAATTGCACAGGTGTCAGCCATCAAACTGAAAACATTGGTCCCAACAGAGAGAGAACCGCGAGTCCTGATTCCTCGCTGGGACCGCTTCGCCTGAACTCAAGGAGCAGATAAAGATGGTTTGTTCCACTGACGGTCCCGAGCCGGGTTCTAGGTTCCGGACATGCCAAGTTCGGTAATTATTGCCAGGTGTGCCGAGAGGGCCACAGGCTCCGCCCACTCGGCAGAGTGGCAGCAGGTGTCACAGCGGGGCTGCCCCCACGCCGCCCGGCTCCTAGTACAGCTAACCCCTTTTCTCCCTGACTCAGTGGTGAAGGGGAGGGGTGAGTGTCAGCTTTGCAGGCCAGAACCTCAGCCTCAGCCAGGTCAGGTGATTTGCTGGAGATCTGTGAGCGGCAGGACCGGCGGCTCAGACGCCAGCGTCCCGGCCAGCACGCTCCAGGAGCCGCAGTCCCGGCACGGCTCATTGGCGTTCCCGTCTGTGTTGTTCACCTAACATATTGAGAAGTCCTTTAAAAAATGCCAACTCTGATTATGGAAAAGTCTGACCCTCTAGGAAGGCAGGCAGGACAACAACCCCTTGGAGGTCCTTCGGATTCAAGCCGGCAACGGCCGCCTTTACAGCTGCCAGAGGCGGAATAAAAGGGAAACTTGAACTTGGCGGTGCCTGTTCTTTCTTAAAACAAAACCAAACCCAAAAGATATTCAGGGCAAATTTTAGAATCATTGACGGTTTCTAGGAAGATTTTCTTTTTTGGAAGAAGAAAGGTACTCTTGTCTCCTTAATTGTTCTCGCTGTTCTCTGTCACCAATCATGATATTCTTTGTGGAAAGCATTAATCTCCCATCCTCTCGTGTTCAATATTCCCATTAACGATCAAAAGTCTAATGAAAATATCTGCATGAAAAGCCCTGAGCACCAATTGCAGAGACAAATAGAAGATGAACCCCATACGCGTCGCTTCTGAAACGCATGATGCAGATTAACTGACATCTTAATTAGGCTTCGGCATGAAGACGGTCAGCCAGAGGGAATCAGAAAGGCCGAGGCCTCAGCACCTGGGGCAAGGGGTCCTCTGTCGGTGCCCTAGAAGAGGGGGCCGAGAGGGACCATGGGCTTTCTGTATCCCAGTGCCCGCCTGCCCTGGTCCAGCCACGATAGGGGCCTGAGGTCTCATCCTGTTTCTGAGTGAACGGGAACCCGCAGGTATAGGAAGTCTCACTGTGACCGAACCTCTGGGCCCTCCACCCTGTGCTGCACCCTCCCTCCTCATCTCCCTGCTACGACAGAGGCTCTGAGAGGGCGGATCCTTCCTCTGTCTCATTGGCGTTGGTTACGCTGGCGCCCACAGGTACCTGACTTAGGGCAATGACAATAACACAGCAGCAAACAACTATACAGAACCTCTGATGTGTTCCGGGGATTGTTCCCACTCCCTGTAGTTAAAGTGACTCTGGTGAGCGCCGTAACAACCGTGCAAGGTACAGACAGTGGGCATCTCTCCTTCCCAGGTGAGGACACAGAGACACAGAGACGCTGAGCAGCCAGCCCAGGAACACACCGCTCACAACATGTGGAGCTGGGCTTTGACTGGTCCCTGCCTCCAGAGTCCTGGCTCATGAGCCCTGGGCTTCACAGGGCAGGGGTCAACATGCATTTGTTGAGTGAGATGACTCAAAGGGCACCATGAATGTCTCGTCCCTATGGCTGGGCATCCCTCTAACCCTTTGCTGTGTTAAGCTGTACACAGGTCCAGAGCCATAATCCTACTCTATCCTAGGTCCTGCTAGACTCTGTTGAAGGTGGAGGTGGGCCCCAGGTATTTCTAGTTTACCTGAGCACTGGCGATCTGTTTTAAACTGGATAGCCTGAGAATAGTCCCCACTGAGGGGCTTCCACTGCTGTGATGTGGCCCCCTCACATCAAGGCCAGGCTCGGTTCTACAGTCCTTGTGAGTGGCAGGGCCACTGTCTCTGAGCACCTGCAGGGACTTCCTGGTGTGCCTTAGGGATTCCTAGTGCTGGCCAGGTGTGTTTACTCACCAAGATCACTCTCCCTAGAGAGGCTCTCCCCTGGAAGTCCCCTCTCACAGGGCACAGCCAGAAACACGAGGGGACTCTGACCATTCAGGGAGCATGAATTAAAAGATGAGTTTACTTTGGTGCAGAAAAATTTGGAGATCTCTGCAAGTGAGGGGCCTTTGTAAAGTTCACGAGAAACGTTATGGCGAAAAAACCCTGCGTGGATTCCCAAAACTTTTTGCACCAAGATGAACTTGTCTGTTCATTCCATTTTCCTACACACATTTTTTTGGAGGCCTTGCCCAGAGCCCTGGGCAGTGAGCTGGAGGGTGGGCACGAGGGGAGGCCCAGAGAGGAGGTACTCCGTCTTACAGAGGAGCTGCTGGGAGAGGCGTGGGTGGGCCCCCGACGTGGTACGGCAGGAAGCAGGGTTACGTGGTTTGGAGTCGGGGCCTCGGCTGGCAGACCCATGTCTACTGTCCATTAGTGGAGACACTGCCTCATTCCACCTCCCTAGGCTGGACTTTCCCCGTCTCCAAAATGGGAGAATGCCTAGTTCCCAAAGTGACCAAACACTGAGTGAGCTTAGCAACAGGTCAGGCATCCCCCGCCTCCAACACTGGACCCCACAGCCTCTTCCGGGCTGCTCGCTCGGCCTCCTGAGCGCTCCCTGGACGCAGTGGCCGTGTGCCATTCAGAACCACTGTGGAGTGAGTTCTGCAGGCAGGGCGGCGCCCTGGGGTCTGCACTGTCTCCAGCTCACCCGTGGGTGTACGCACACGCCTGCTGTCCACAACCCACCCGGGAGCTGTGGACACCAGCACACAGGAAGTGCTCCGTCCTAGACCGATTTGGTTTACAGTCTCTTGCGGCTGGTGGAATCTGGGGGCAGGTGGACAGGGCCGAGTGGACACAGCTGGGCCGAGCTGCTGCTTCCTGCTCCACACTCAGCCGAGGGAGAGTGGGTGACGACGCGACCGAAACCCAAGCTCCTCCGGCCTGAGCGGGAAGGCCGAGGCGGACCGAGCAGGTGGCCCTGGGAAGCTCTGAGGCTTAGCGGCCGTGCCTGACAGCTGCCACTTGCCACCTGCTCTGCCTCTGTGTGTGCAGCACAGAGTGTGTGTGAGGGCTCTGTCCCAGGGGGCACAGGGAGGGGCAGCCTCATGGACTCTGAAACCACTGCACCCTGTGTGGCTTCTGCCCTCCGAGTTGTGGAGCCAAACCCCGGGACCGGAAGCTCTCTCTGTGTGTGGAGTGGGCTGTGAGTGTGACCTGCGGAGTGAGCCGGCCCCTGGTGACCACCAGGGAGGCCCACGCTCAGAAAGTGGCACGAGGGCCAGCTTAGGGGGAGATCAGGGTCTTTCCCTTTTGTGCCCTCTGCCACCCTCCCTGGCCTGCTCACGTGGGTCTCCTCGGCTCCGCCACTTTGCGCACTTAACATGTTTCCAGAGCTCCATGCCAGGCAGAGGCGTGCTTGGCCCAGGGGGTGTGTTGGGGGGACAGAGACCAGCCCGGCGCTGCCCAGGAAGCTGTGGCGGGCGTCTCTTTGAGGAAGCCCCCTCCAGGGCCTTTGCCAGGGCTGCATCTCAGGTCGCCCCCGGGAGCTTCCTGGCGAAGGGCGGGGGACACTGGCCTGTGGTGACTGCTCTTTCAGCACCCCCACCCAGTGGCTGGGAGAGTCCCCTGGTCAGCTAGTGCAGACTGCTGCCCCGTCTCCCACCCAACTCCAGAAGAAACGCACAGTCCCCCCCCCACCCGTGTTGTCTCTGCATTTCCCAAAGCGCTCCCAGCGTGTGGCCCAGTGGAGTTGTTAGCACAGTTCCCGTGGAACAGATAAGGTTGAAACACTTGGCTCCAGGGAGACGACACAGGGGCTACTGGGTCTTCAACCAGCAAGATCTAGAGCAGATCTGGTTTTTTCTGGTTCTGCTTTCCCACGGGGGTCCTCTCGGGGTGGAAAGCTTTGCCCACTCTTTGCAAAGCCCGACTGCAGGTTGTCCAGGCACGGGCTCCTGACCGCTTGCGGCGAGCATGTATGCAAATAGCCGGTACATGTTCGGGACACACGCAGACCCCCCACCCCCCAGATATTTTCATTCTGCAGTCGGTTCAATACACAGATGAGGAACGGGCAGTTGCAGAGGGCTGATTGCTAGTGGGAAAAACTCAACAAAGCCCTTCAATACTGCTCACCCCAGAGTGTCCAAAACGTGTATGGTAGGACAGTCTACCTGTCCCTCCCACTGCCCCCCACCAACCGTATAATGCTCACCAACAAGGCACCATATTTGTGTTCCCAAGGCCAACTCTGGCTCCTACACAACCATTGTCTCAACCGAGATGTGGCACCCGCCTTGCCACCGAGACACTTCTTGCAACTGCTGGACCACTTGGGAGGGGCGGTATCAGCTGAGTGCTGGGGCGACCTGACGCGGCTGTCCTTGCACCTGCCGGCCTCCAGCTCCCCCGGGCGTGAACTCTGACCCCTGGCTGCTTACCTTGATGTCTGTCATCAACCAGTGTCTCCAAAACCTCAGCCTGGGCTCCGACCTGCTCGGGGCGTCGGGGTCCACCATCACCAGGATGTAGCTTGCCCCCTGCAACACAAGCACCGGAAGTAATGTAGCATCGTGGCTGAGTGTTGGCAGGAGAACACCAAGGGAGTGGACGCTCCTTCCACCTCCACTCCGGCTGGGAATAGCCAGCCAGCCCCGAGCCCGTCCTACCCAGAGCCTCCCTGTTCTCACAACCCCCTGTATCACAGTTGTTCTTGGAGGAAAAAAGCCAGCGACGGGCATAGCAGGGGGCCTCTTGGCTCTCCCTTTAATGAAGGGTGAGTCCTCGCCCCCCAACACACACCAAGGCGTATTCACTGAGCCTCTGCATGTGCCCAGCACCAGATGCACCCCCAAAACAGGACTTCGGCCCTGAGCAAGCTTCCGGGGTGGTTGGAGGAACCCGACTGCTGATCCAGCAAGCACAGGACAACCGTGTAAGAATTGCAACAATGACCAGAAACCCCAGGAAGTCAGCCGCCCCTTCCCCTGCCATCTAGTGGACCACCTACTAGATGCCGGAAGCTCTTCCAGGGGCTAGGAAGCCAACGGGGCACAAGACAGTAAGAGCTATGCTTTGGGGAAGCATCTATTCTAGGGAAGAGACAGAGCTAATAAAACCAGATACAGAAATAAGCAAGGTAAACATCGAGGGGGTGGTGAGCGCCACGGCACAGCCCAAGCAGGGCAGACGAGCGGGCACTCCAGGAGCAGGCACTGCTGCAAAGGCCTCAGCTGGGGAAGACGCAGGCTCTGAGTACCACTGTGGCTAGGGCGTGAGCTAGGGGGACAGTGGGTGTGGTGCGGCGGGGGGAGAGGGGGCAAGGGTCAGACCGCAGAAGGCTTTGCAGCACTGGAGGAGGAGAGGTTTTTTTTTTTTGTTGTTTTTGTTTTTTTAATGATTTTTGAGAGGCAGAGTGGACAGTGAGAGAGACAGAGAGGGAGGTCTTCCTTTTTCCATTGGTTCACCCTCCAGTGGTTGCTGTGGCTGGCTCACTGCGGCCGGCACACTGCGCTGATCAGAAGCCAGGAGCCAGGTGCTTCTCCTGGTCTGCCATGGGGTGCAGGGCCCAAGCACTTGGGCCATCCTCCACTGCACTCCTGGGCCACAGCAGAGAGTTGGACAGGAAGAGGAGCAACCGGGACAGAATCCGGTGCCCAAACCGGGACTAGAACCCGGTGTGCCAGCGCCGCAGGTGGAGGATTAGCTTATCGAGCTGTGGCGCTGGCCATGGAGCGGAGTTTTATTCCGAGTGCGGCGCAGAACCTCGGGAGGGTGTCAGGGCGGGCAGTGTTTCGCTGTGACGTTACATTTTTAGAAAGTCAGGCCAGCTGCTGGGTGATGGTTGGCAGAGGACCAGGGAGGGAGCCAGGAGGCAGTTAGGAGACCCCCGTAGTAAGACAGGATGCTGGCTCCTTTTCTAGGGTGGGAGAAATGGGGATGGAAGCAAAGAAACGGGTGGAGGTGTGTTCTAGTGGACCCAACCCTGTCTGCGGATGGGCTTGATGGCCATGAAGACTCCACGGAGAAACTGGAATTCAGGATGAAACCTGGGTTCCGGCTAGAGCACCTGGGTGAGTGGGGCCATTTCTGGACACAGAGGAGACTGTTTGAAAGGGACGTTGGGAGTTCTGTTTTAGACACGGGGTGGGGGAAGGGGAGGAAATGCCTTTTAGAGGACAATCCGGTCGGCACACCAGGGTCTGGAGCTCCGGGGAGAGCTGGAGGCTGGGTTCTAAGCATGGGCGCTGTTGGCTCACTGGTGGTCCTGAACTGCGTGGAATGGCGAGATGAGAGCCGCCGCAAGGGAGGAACGGGCCCACGGCTGACACGGAGGAGCCGGAGAGCCTGGCAGAGTTCGCCGTGCAGCCAGGGCGGCGGGGGAAGGGCAGGTGCCAGGAAAGCGAAGGCAGAGCTGCGTTTCAGGCGGGAGAAAGCGCTCAGGGAGCCGAGCGCTGCCGAGGGGTAGAGCAAGACGAGGACACAGACGTGACAATTCGACTTGACAGCTCGGAGAGCGCCGTTATCTTGACAAGACGCGTTTCAGTGCGGCAGGAAGGACTGACGTAGGGCGGGCGAAGCTTCCAGGAGACGCGAGAGGAGGAGTTGGAGGCAGCTAATAAAGATGACGAGGAGGAGAAGTTTGGAGTGAAGGGCAGCTGGGCTGAGATGCCGGAGTTAGGAAGGCAGAGTCAGATTTTTTTTTTTTTGGGTGATAGGCATGTGTGTGAGCCAATGGGAAACGGAAGTGGTTTACTAGCAAGGGAGGAACACAGGGCAGAGAGGAGGAAGACTCTGGGCAGGTGGGAGGGGCCAGGAGCCGGAGCCCAGGCGGAGAGGCAAGCTTTGGGTGGGAAGCAGGGACAAGGGGGCCATCGCAAGAGAAGGAGGCCGTGGCGAAGACAATGCAGGAGGGCGGGGTCTTCTCCTGGCTCCTGTTCGCCAGCGAACAAGAGAGGGGGCACCGAGAGAGGACGTGTGGGGCCAGCGCAGGGGTGAGATTGCTCATACGAGGGAGCATCGTAGGCTTCCGTGCCTTCCACGGGCGCGTGCAGGTGTGGAATCCGTGCCGGTCTAGGCAGGAGGGGACTCAGGCTGGTGGGCAGGAGAGCCGGAAGAGAGTGCACGGGGAGAGTCCCCGTCCTGCCAGGCAGGGGTGGACACGTCCAGATGGCTCCACCGAGTGCCGGAAGCTGGAAGCCTTTCTCAAGTGTAGAGGGAGCCCAGGTGTGCCGGCCGCAGTGGGGCAGCAAGGCCTCAGAGTGACGATCAAGCACTGCTGGATGCGCATTGCAGGAGGCATCTGATAAGGAGGCAGTGGAGCCATTAAAGGAGAGCCCGAGCACACACGCACACACACGCACATGCACGCACACGCATGCACGCACACACACATGCACACGCACACACAGCCGTGAGCCTCCGGAGAAGACAGACCACAGGACTCTAAGCAAACAGTGGGAACCCAGGCGGAGAAGGAGGAGAGAGCTGTGCAGTGTCGCACGACAGCACGAGGCACTAGCAGGGGGGCAGCGGGGTTGGTGACTCGGGGACTAGGCCTGGGATGGCCACGTGGCACTGGGGGCCCGTGTGCCAGCAGCTGTAAGCTCACAGGGACATCCTTCCTGGAGCTTGAGGCTGGCGTCCTCTCACAGATGGGCAGAGAGGCAGTGGAGGTGGCCCTGGGGAGGAGTAAGACAACGGCGGCACTCGGGAACCCAACGGGATAGGGCAAGGGAGCCTGGGGAGCAGTGAGCGGGGGCCCTGGCTGCAGAGATGTGTTCAGGGAGGGGGGCGGAGGCAGCCACCGAGGCAAGTGACGACAGTGGTCATCATGGGGAGGGGGGCGGCACGGGTCACTTTCCAAAGATGAGTGGTTCAGACACGAAGATACCCAGAGCTGCGTTTTACAATCCAAAAGGCGCAGGGCACCACAGGCGAGGTGCGACAGGAACTTACATCAGACAACATGAAGACAAGCCCAAGAAAGCCCCAAGGACGCAGAATAGAGGAGAAGCAGATGACAACGTGAGAGCAGGAGAGGAACGCACCAAAGTGCCTGTGTGTGTGCTCACGTGTGAGCCCAGTGGGACCCCAGAAGGAAACTGCTTCATACATCCGAGAGCTGGTTCTAGCTTCAACGATAAGAAAATCGAAGGAAGAAATAAAGCTCCCCTCCCCTCCCCTCCCCTCCCCTTTCTTCTCCTCCCCTGCCATCTCCTCTCCTCTCTCTTCCTCCCTCCCTCCCTCTCGCCCTTCCTGTAAAAGTGATATAATTATTTACATGAGAAATCCAGAAAATAAACTGAAAGCAACTATACTAATATCCAGTAAAGTAAGCTGTTAAAAATGCCTCCCCACACCCCCTGGGCTGGTGCTGTGTTGTAGCAGGTAAAGCCTTGGCCTACAGTGCCGACATCCATGTGGGCGCTGGTTCAAGTCCCAGCTGCTCCACTTCCAATCCAGCTCTTTGCTATGGCCTGAGAAAGCAGTAGAAGATGGCCCAAGTTCTTGAGCCCTCGCACCCACGTAGGAGACCTGGGGGAAGCTCCTGGCTACTGGCTTTGGATTGGCCCAGCTGTGGCCATTACAGCCATTCAGGGAGTGAACCAGCATATGGAAGATCTCTCTCTCTCTCTCTCTCTCTCTCTCTCCCTCTGTGACTTTGCCTTTAAATAAATCAATAAATCTTTAAAAAATTTAAAAATGAAAATAAAAATGGACCCCAAATGTTAATAATAGTCATAAAATAAACTTTAAATTTTCCACTTGCAGGGCTGGCACTGTGGTGCAGTAGGTTAATCCTCTGCCTGTGGCACTGGCATCCCCTCTGGGCTCTGGTTCGAGTCCTGGCTGCTCCTCTTCCAATCCAGCTCTCTGCTATGGCCTGGGAAAGCAGTAGAAGATGGCCCAAGTGCTTGGGCCCCTGCACCAGTGTGGGAGACCCAGAAGAAGCTCCTGGCTCCTGGCACAGCTCCGGCTGTTGAGGCCATCTGGGGAGTGAATCAGTGGACCTAAGACCTTTCTCTCTGTCTCTCCCTCTCACTGTCTGTAACTCTGCCTCTCAAATAAATAAAAAAATTTCCCATTTGTAATTGCAATAAAGAATGTAAAATATTTAAGGATGAACTTAATGAAAAATGTAAGACATACAAAGAAAATAGAAACAGGATGAAGTGCATAAGAGGAAAACTTGGATGGATGGGGAGACACACACAATGCTTCTAAACGGAAATAATTACTTTATGCAAAAATGTCAACAAGCCTTCATGGTTAAATTTTGTCAATTTGTTAATCTAACACAATTCCAGTCAAAATCCTGAATAGATGCCTTTAGAACTCCACAGGATGATTAAAGCTCATGATAAAAGCAAAATGTGGGGCCAGCGCTGTGGCATAGCGGGTAAAGCCATTGCCTGCAGTGCCAGCATCCCATATGGGCTCTTGCAATCCAGCTCTCTGCTATGGGCTGGGAAAGCAGTAGAAGAAGGCCCAAGTGCTTGGGCCCCTGAACCCACATGGGAGACCAGGAGGAAGCACC